AGAGAGAGAGAGAGAAATTTTCATTCGATATACAAACTAATATCGTTTTCGTTACGGTTTGAGCTGAATTTTTTCGTTCACCATATCAGCAACAGTGAAAAACAAAATTGTTTACCATTTGTTTTTGGTGAGAATAACGAAAAAGAAATTCTTTTCATATAGTTTTCCATCTCTTTATATATGGTTTTTTATTCCCATCAGGTTTATCCGTAATAATAATAATTTTCTGCACCGTTTCTCTCTCTCTCCCTCCCATTTCATTCCATATTTATTTCATAATTTTTTTCTTTTCAAAATTGAGATTTTTAAAAAGAAAACTCTGGAGAATTTCTCATTTTATTTTGCAAGTTTCGCTCTGATTCTATTTTCAAGTTTTCGTTTTCATTTTCATTTTCCTTCTTTCTAAACATGATAAAGAATGACTAAACAAGAAAAAAAATTGGTCGAATCGTTTATCGACTGGACAACAGAGATTGGTTTTTTCAGTGATGATGAAAACATTGTTTTTGGCTAAACTTTTTTGTTGTTCTTTCGGATGCATAAACAGAGATGTTTGATGATGATAAAAATGCGCTAGTGTGTTGTGAATAGATTCTTTTTGCTTTTAGGACATGACCAGATGATACAACAATTTCATCGATAGGATACTTGAAAGATACCAGAAATATTTCATTCATAGAAACTGATGTTTCAGTCTCTAGGGTTTGTGTTAGAGTTTTTTCACTGATCATCAATTGTATTGAGAAATTAATTTTTTATGCAAATAATTTTTCTGTACAAAAAAAGTAAAATCTGCAACTATATCACTGCCACGACCGATGAATAATTCTATCAATCAAAAAATGATTTTTTTCATTGGTGATGATGTTGATATCAATTTTCGAAAAAATTGAACGATTGATGAATTAAAATGAATCAAAAATCGAACATACACTAAACAATGGACCGTAATTGATATATCGGGTTTAGAGGTTATATAAATTGGGTTGTTTTCACAACTCTTCGTACAAGCCCAGAGAAAAAATTGAAATAGACTAAACGAAAATGACTTGTCTTTGCTTTGTTTGTTGTAAATTAGCTCATTTTCGTTGATTGTCATTGACACACAGATACAATACATAGACATTGTGCAGTATAACATAACATGGAGAGAATAAATGTCATAATCATTAGTGGATCTAAAATGGTCCAGACACAAACACACACACACACACAAATACACACACAAAACATTGAATCTAATCATCATGAGAATTTGCATTACTATTACTATTACTATTACAATTTCTATGATACAAAGCTATTTCTATTCATTTAATATGAATGAATAAAAATAGAAATGAAATGAAATCGAATTGGAATTGAACTCAATGATGACAATAGAATGAAAAACAACAACATCCCATAAGAATAAACTCAAAATTCCATTTGAATCGAAAATTGTCTTTTCCTCTTTCTAACTTTTGCTGTTGTTGCTAAATGACGAAACACAACAAGCGGCAGATGATAATTTCTGATTGTCAAATGGCCCTTTGTTTTTTTCTGATACAAAATAATACCGTCCCAATTTGACAAGTAAGTAGAAAAAATGATAATAATTTTTTCAAATTTTGAAATAATGTAACATTCATCACAATAAAAAAAAAGAGAGAAAATATTTGAAAATATGAAAATAAAAAACTTCATTATGAATTCATCGCATAACTTTTTGCTTGTTTTCATTCGTTTATATATATCATGATTCTCGTTAACCATTTCTCGATATCGATGAAATTGAGAGAAAAAAATAAAATTTCAAATTCAAAAATGTTTACCATTTTGCAACACACACACACACACATAAATTGAATGGTTTTTTATTTGAATTTCAAGAAGAATGATCGAAAGAGAGAGAGAAAAAAAAAATTCAATTTTCTTGAAGAAAATGGCAATCCTTGAAAAATGGTAGAAATTATGGCCATTTTCAAACGAAATTGATCAAAACTTTCAATTGATGATGGTGACTAGTGAACGGGAGAGAGAAAAAAATTTAATCTTGAGAATTCTGAAAATTAATTTTTGTTTCTTTCGTATCGAAATCTGTGCTTATCGTTGGTTATATGATTCTCCAAACATTATCGGTGTGTGTGCGTGCATTGATATTGATTTTTTTTGTATCTGTATCTGTGGTTTTTATTAGGATATTTTTATATTGATATTTACCAACATTGAAAATCAAAGTTAGGTAGCGGGTGTGTTTGTTTGTTTGATAATTCATTTCGAAAATTCCTTCAATAGATCGATAGTGGTAATAAGGATGATGACGCCGAAATCGGCTAAAATAAACACAGATCCATGGACAAACAAACATTTGCTTTATTATTTACTTCATTCAAAAAACGATGACGATGACGATGACGATGACGATGATGATGATGATGATGGAAATTTATTATTCATTTTGATGAATTTCACGCCCTATCTAGTTATCGACCTATCCAGCATGGATCAAATAAATTGAGTATAATATCACTTCAAGGAATGAACAGTTTGGTTGACAATTTTTTTTCTTTCTCTGGTGCTGAAATATTCCGGTTTTTTTTACTTTGGCTAAATTCAAAGATTGAATCTGATCTGATATATTATAAACACAGTTTGGGGATAATTGCTTGTGAATGAAATATAAACAAACATCCATTCGATTCATTTTTTTCGTTTTTTTCATATAAAAATTATTCTTCGTTTTTTGTCTGCCTGTAAGTTGATGACTACATCACCATCCTCATCGATGAGTGTTTGGATTCTGAATTTATCATTTTTCACTATCCACAAATCACAATGCATGAAACTTTTTTCCGCATCTCTTTCATTGAATTTAACCGTTTTTTCTCTCTCGTTTCGATATTTGCAATGTGATGATTCGCATGGTTGAATCACTAATGTAGGTGATTTGTGATTCACTCACTCACTCAGACACACAGAAAGACACAGAAACACTTTCATTGAATCAAAAACTTTTTTTTACCACTTGCCGAAAACTTCTCGATGATGATGATGACGAATATACAATTGGAACAAATTTTATTGGCGCTTCATCTAAAGAGAAAAAACCATTTCTTATGTGATGGAGCCAACGATGAAAAAAAAAATTCCGTGACATCCATACAATATAGCGTTTAAAAGTCAGGACAAAACACAAAGAAAAAGAATTTTTCAGCAATCGAATCAATTATATATTGTTTTCAAGTATTAGAACAATTTCATCATCATCCTCAATGAAATTGTTCAATTCCATATTCTATGAGATTCTAATAGATGGGCGAATTTACCATCATATATCTGTCATCGTTTTTGTGGAATACTGTTCAATATATGCAAAATTTTTCATCCAATTGAAATTGAAATTGAAATTGAATTTGAATTCAAATTCGTTCACCTTTTTCTCCTTGTTTCTCGTTCATCACCATATATAATAATAATAATTCTGTTTGATTCTATGATCTGATTGTGAATTCTCCATAGATATATTATATTCATTCAAAAAGTGCTATGTACTGCAGCAGCAACAACAACAACAAAAAAAGATGTTGATTCGTCTGAAGTGAGTGAGTCACCCATATCTATCCACCAACCATCGAAAAAAGTCACAAGAGTAACTGGAAAAAATGGAACAAACTTTTTGGTCTTTTGATTCCTCCGTCAAAATATATGCCCACGACGAAATGATAAATGATTAGATCTTACCCACACACACACACACACACACATACATTGAGTCGTGCATCACATAATCATCATCTTGGATCTTTTTTTTCGATTTTTTTTCATCACTACAAGGAAGATGAGTAGGAATGAGTTAGTCTATTGCAAAAAACACAAAGAAATGCGATATTCGAAAAAAGCCTGTTAATACAGTATAATTGACATTCATTCCATGTGGCTCTATCATCATTCAATGAATCTTCAAAGAATTTCAATGTAAGATAGTCTCAGAAAATTATTCTCACATCATTTCAAGTCATTGTTGTTGATTTGATTGCCACAGAATTCCATTTTTTCTTTATTACTTAGTAGTAGTGGTAGGGCTACCATATTTTTCCAAACAAAAGTCTGGACAATCCATTGATCAGTGTTTCTCAACCATAGACAGTCAATACAAGATGATTATTAAATCCGGACGCATGGCAACCCTAAATAGTGGTAATCTATTTTGGGGTCAAACTTTTACAATGATAATCATTATTATGGAACTAACACGATGATGATTACCAATCTTAACGACAACGACAAAAATTTTCAACAAACATGAGAATACAATAACAATCGTAGAGAACTATTAAACTTTTCGGTTGCTTCATTTTCTAATACAAAGTTTGTTGCTTTGCCATCAACATAATGATCACTTATGGAACTTTCAATCCAATCGTTCATGAATGTCAATCTCAATATTAAAAACGAGAAAACAAATCTAAAATTCATGATTCAATCCATTGAATACTATTTTTTATTTAGTGTTTCCAGTCATTTTGATTATGATGATGATCATTTCGGAAACATTTCGAATTGATTCTGATTCGGAAATCTTTTCCAATTTTTTATTCTCTTGATTCAAAATATATAAATGAGAAAAAAAATTCATCTTTTCCGTTCCATGTTCGTTTTCGCATTTCCGTTTTTCTTTTCTTCGTTATTATTATGGTGCTTAATGTTTTTTTTTGTGGAGTCTCATCACTAATGTTTTGAATGATGATCATCATCACCATTCTCATTATTATGATCGGACTTTTTTTTTCTTTTTCTCTCTTAAATTAATGAGATTGACTTTAATCAATGTTGATAGTGGTGATCAATGACCACTCATTCAAACTGATGATATATAATATACTATAGTTGTCAGAATGATGATTACAACTCTAATCAATAATGCACTGAGTGAATTTTTTTTTTTTTGTTTTCTTTTCATTTTAGTTATGAGTTGGTAAGCCAAAAAAATAATTTCCTCATCTTCATCAATGGCTCTATGATTATTCATTTTTAATTTATTTGCAAAAATTGATTGGCTTGCCGGTCAAAATCATCATATATTGATATTTCCCATTATTTCAAGTTTCATTGATCGAATGGATTGGCATCATGACATTTGTTCCAACCAATCATCAATTCAATTGGCACTATGGTTGTTCCACATTTCTTTTAAAGAACAATTGTCATGTTCCAGTAAATTTTCGACTTGTATATTTTGTTATAGTAGTTCTGATCATATCATATATAATGGATTGTGTTTTTCAGTATGTGTGTTTGTGATGTAACAAAAAATGGGACAACATTTGATTAATAAGTGTCATTTGTGTGTGTTTTTCATATGACTAATTGCGAGCCTCTACATTTGGTAATAAAATTGTTGTTTTGGGATTATATAATCTAGAATCTAGAGTGATGATTTCAATTTAGCCATAGCATTATTATAATATGAATATTTGATTGTCAATGTACGAGCTTCACTAGCGTTCAAGTCATTGAATGCAATGGTTAAATTTTGCATCAATTTTTCCATATTTTCTTTCAATTGTTCCATTATCACTCGTAGACTATCAGGATCATTATGGGCCAATTCAATTTCTTCATTCAATTCCATTATTTCGAGTAACGAGTTCGGTTCAGAATCCATATTAACTACATGACCAACCAACCAAAATAAGAATGATGAACACGTCCAGACATGCCAGATGAGAAAAACAATGCGGGTAGTCAATGAAAACAATCATGTTGAACATACCTTCATCGATGATTATATTGAACATTAAACGCAACATATACAGTGCACGTTGATATGGATCACGTAATATTTTATAGCCATCATTGATAATCGATGAATTCGTTGACGAGAATTCACTTTCAATCTATACATAATTATGAAAAACGTAAATGGAAATAATAAATTAGCAAACATATCACACCACTTTGATTATCATCTTTGTTATTGAAAATTAAATTAGACGAGCCAACAAGGTTGTTGATCTAATGATTCTAATCTAAACTAGTAGTCTTTTCAGCAGAAAACAACAACAACAAAATCTATCATCAAGTTTTTTGTCGGTTATTTTTCATTTCAAAAAATAAAAAATAAAAACTTGAAAGCTACGAAATATCGAATCGAGATCGGATAGAACAACTGAAAAATGGCTTCAAAATCAACCGATCTTTCTCGAATGACATTAGCCGTATATATTAATATTATGTGGGTGTAATATATAAAATGAGAAAAACGATTTTGGCATTTTTCCTTTTCTTATTCTTCTGTTTGGCATCGGCTGATTCATATATCCGGCGCCGTATTATCGTATTTTCTATATCTTTCCCCATAACAATATTAACGCGAAATGGTGATCAAAAAAAACATTCATCTTGATCTTGAGTTTACTTACTCACACACACACACATCATACTTTACATTCTCTCATAGCTCTCACTTCACAATTTTCAAAATATTACATTTGTCTTGTGTGTTCCATACACACACACACACACAAATCGGCGTCATCAAACGATAATTTTTTCTCATTTCTTATTTCATTCTTTTTTGTTGTTGTTGTTGTCGACCAGAATGAAAAAGAAACGAGAACAACAACAAAATAAAAAAAAATCCAACATACAAATGTGGGTGTATGAAATCGAAATGGATTGCTTTGCATTTGACGATGACATTTTTTTTGTGAACAAAAAAATCTTCAAACTTTTCCATGTGATCATAGTATTCGTAGTAGTAGTAGTAGTAGCATAATCGAGGGTAATATGAAAAATGTTTGAATGAATGAGAATGTAAAAATGAAAAACTTAAACATTCAATTCTTGAAGAAATGATCCTCATCATCATAATAATGACGATAATAATAACCGGCAATATATGAAATGGATAGAATTGGATTGGATTGAATTGAAAGCCATAAATTTTTTTACACTATCACTGCCACCAGAAACCAACGATGAAACAAACAACAACAAAATGAAACGACATGTCGAATGTGTGTGTGTGTGTGTGTTTTGAAATAAAATTGAACAATACTATACTCTGAAGAATTGAATGGAAAATAGAAAAAAAAATTGAAACATGGATTCTTTTCTTTTTTTTGATGTTTTCGTTTCTTTTTTTGTCCCAACTGAACAACACTCTCAATTTTTTCATTCGTTTTATTGAATGAGCAAAAAAACTTTGGCTTGATCGTAAATGATCCATTTTTTATCATTATCAATTTCTTTCGAAACAAATTCTTCAAAAAGAAATTGGTCTTAGAGGATAAAATGGCCCATCATCATATAAACGATGATGATGATGATGATGATTTTATCAGAACCACCATTTTGAGTTTTTTTCCGTTCAGAAAGATGATTTGCAAGCTTACTTCCATGATTATGAATGAAAGATTTCTTGTCAAATAAGGCGAAAATGCAATGGAATAAAAATTAGCCAGAAAATAAACAAAACATTCTAATGGCTAATGGTATACTCATGTTGGCTACCTGCCTACCTATATACCCACCTATCTGCCAATCTAAACTATCGGATATTGTATTCTTATTGCAAGTGATGTTATTTATGTCAAAACGACGGCAAAACAAAACAAAACAAAAAACATGTCTATCAAAGAAAAAACAACAACGAAAAAAATCTAGATTCTAATAATCAATGTTGTTGTTTGTTTGTTTGTTTGGGGCATTGGGATGTGTGGTGCAAATGTGTTTGAAAACGAACAAACATAAAAGTATTCCACAGAACATAGAATACAGACATTTTCCAATCAAAAGAAAAAAAAACAGAGTCATCATATTTTATGAAAGTAAAAGAGATAGACATATCTAGGGAGGAGAATGCCATTATCAATAACACCCTGTAGAAAGTAGTATGGGAAAAAATAATGTTCCATTACTATGTGTGCAATATATTTTGTTTGTCTCTCTCTCTTTCTCTCATTCTCTCTGAGATGTAAAAATCTGATTCAATCTTTTTATTCTGTTTCATTATTATAGAATATACAAGAAATACATACATTTGATCGATTGATGTTCATATCCGGATGCATATTTTGCTGCAAGCGTAAATAATTTCTTCGTAACTTTTCCAAATCGATATCATAATTCCAATACGGTTGCTGCTGTTTATTTGCTATTACCATTGAATTGAGATTGAATAGTTGAAAATAGTCAACATTCTTAGAAATTGGCTGTAATGCTGAACAATGTGGACATTTAATGATTACATCATTGTTGTTGTCGTTGTGCAGCACCTGAGTATTCGATCCATTAGTTGCATTCGACTGATGACGATTTTCATGTAACGGCTTATCACATTTCCAGCTAGTTTTTTTCGGCAACAAAAAATAAAAAGACAATAAAATAAAAGGATACAGTATTAAATTTGGAAAAAAATTCCGTTTCTTGGATCATCAAATGCGATAAACGAACGAATGCGACTAGCAGCAGCAACAACAGTAATAGTAAATGAATGAATGAAACAAACGGAATTCAAACCGTGAGAAAGAGAAAAAAGGACATTAAGAATCCATTTTGTTCATTTTCTCTGTTATCTCTTACTATGGTTAGATAGTTGTGTGTTTTCTTGTTTGTTATTGTGTGTGTGTGTGGTACAAGACAGAAACAAATTAGTACATGATTCAAGTTGACTGAAACAAACTAAACACACGATGATGAAAGTCAATTAAATTTGCAAGAAAAATGTGAATGAATTTTATCTTGAAAATTTTCTAGTTTTTAATATTTGGATGTCATATCCATATATTTTTCTCGTTAATGTTCCTTTGCGGTTATGTTAGAACCAAACAACCAAACAAATGAACATAAGAAATAAAAAAAAAATTCAACCATCATAACTATTCATTACATTCAAAAATGAATGCCAACATTCCAGAAATGTTTGCAACATTTTTTCATGTCTATTCAAAATATTTTTTCAGCCTGACTCTAATCTATCGACACACTAAATGATGGAAATATTTTTGTCAAATATCGAAATTCTATTCAATTCAAATCACAATAATAACGATGATGGTTGTGAAAGAGAAAAATTCAGTGTTGGTGTACGTTTGTTAATGAAAATGATGATTTGATCATTACCACATGTATTCAGACGAAAGTGTCATGTTATTTTGTTGCAAGTGCTTGATGATCGAAAACTATACATACACATCAATGAGAAGACGGATGTCCATCACATGCACACACATAAATTTTTCTCTCTTCTCTGGCTACCAAACAAAATTGATTCATTGGAATAACATTATGGAAAAGAGGAAAAAAATTCTTACTGGAATTCGTCGCTAATGACAATTACATAACAGTATATTCAGACAGACAGACAGACAAAGAGATTCATTCATTTCACATTTGTCCCACTAATATTCACATTTACAATTGAGATGTAATTTAATGATGATAACCATCTAATAGAAATAGAAATAGAAATAGTAATAGTAATAGTAATAGTAATAGTAATAGTAAATTGAATTAAATTGAAAACAGAACGCAACATTGACACACAAATGCCAGGCAACCGAAATACAGAAAAAAAATGAATTAAATTGTAAATTATACATACCAACATTTGATTCTATCACCATTATCGATAAGAATGTTATCACCACTATCACTACCACTATCACCATTATTATTATCATTATCATCGTTATTCACGTTGTTGTTGTTGTTGTTGATATTTGATGTTGAATTGGATGAAAACACTCGAATCAATGTCGACGATGGTGATTGTTGTTTTGGTCGACCAATACCGTACATGTTATGTGATGATGATGTCATTGGTCGTTGTGGCAACAATGATACAGGTTTTAATGATAATCGAATGATATTTTTATTATCAAAAAATGTTAATCTATTCATCGATAAACATGATGACGATGATGACGACGTTTTAAATGATGAATGACAATATTCCAATGATGATTTGGCGCCACCATTCATGTTATACAATTTATTCAATGTGGCAGTGGTGTTTTCAATGTTGTCATCCTCATTATCCTCATCCTCATTATTATTATTATTATTATTACCATTGTCATTTGAATTCGTATATTCGGGCGCTGATGATGATGATGATAATTCCCAACTAATAAAATTATCATAGATTTTCATCTTTTTGGTAAATTTTTCTATCAAAAAAGACAAAAACGAGTCAGAATTGATCATGGAACATTTTGATGATGATGATGATGATGATGGTAACATTAACCGTTCATGATGACGATGATGATGGTAGCAACCGCATAGATTATTATTGTAACTAAAACGGTTAAACAAATGGAATGTTGGTTGTTTCAGAATAACAAGAGATAAGAATAACGACCGAGATGACATTAGTGATGATGATGTTGGTCGTAGAAGGATAAAGCGCATTTTTCTTGTTATTCAATTACTTTCTCGGTCGTCGGGTTCCGCTTTTATCTATTATCGTTATTATTATTATTATTATGATGAGAAAATGAATTATTTTTCTTCTTTTTCTTCTTTTGAAAATGAATTCTGGTGTTTGGTTTTCACAAATTAAAATGAGATGAAATGAAAAAATCCTATTTTTTCGACTAAAAAAAATTATTCAAATAAAATTATTAGAAAAAAGAAACAACAAAATCAGAATGAAATTTTCAGCGTGGGTTTTTACGAAAATCATAAACTGGCACTTGCATGTGAAATGACAAAAAGAGAATAAACACACAACATATGGAAATGATGAGGCTATTCATTCGTTCATTCGTTCATTGGAGCACAAAGAAAAATTAATTTTCAACAGAAAAAAACAAGAAATCCAAAGAATTAGTACTATGGATGGAAAAAAATGATAGACAAACATATCATGAGAATTATTTTCGAATGAAAGTTTTTTTTTCGCTAGCTGCATTTTGCGAAAAAGCATAATTTGAAAAAAATCTCTTCTACACACACACTTACGAATGGAGAAAGTGAATAAATATAAGAATTTTATCCACATAAATTCTATTCATACAGCCGGCCAGATTTCAATTATCTCGATTATCATTATTATCTTCTCAGATTCAAATTCCGAGGAAAAAATGGAAAATCTTATGAAATTCTTTTTTGTTCTTCGAAAAGATTTGAAGAATCGAAATTTTTTTTTCAATTATGAAATGATGGTGAAGTTTAAATATTATAGAATTTTGGTTGTTGGTTTACCGGAAATTTTACCCGATAAGAGATGTGTGTGTTCATCTGATGATGATAATAATAACAACTACAACATTTGCAATAATTATTCTGCAGACAGGAAATTCATTCATTCATTCAAGAAAAAAGGTTCAATGAAAGATTCTACATTCCTTATTTTTTGCTTTCAATTCAATTCGAGAGAAAGAGAGAGAGAGAGAGACAGAATAATAATGATAAAAAATGCCAAATTCAACCATCGTTCTCTTTTATCATCATTTCTTAATTCTTTCATGCTGAAAACGAGACACACACACAAAAACACATTGTCTAAATTTAGCTCCATTCAACAATGACATGATGTTCACAGATGATGATGAAATAGTTTCACACACACAAACACAACAAACGAATAATAATAGTTACCATTTGAGCTTAATTAATTTTGATATTCTAATGTCGTTTTATATTCGTTTTTCTCCTTTTTCATCTGCTCGATCATCATCATCAGTTAACCGTTTGTTTGTTGTTGTTATTATTTTGGATGAATGCCGGTTTTGGATTGCCGAAAAAAATTATAATTTACCGACCGTATGTTTTATAATAATAATAATAACATATTAATTGCCACTACAATAACGGGTATTATTCGAGTGAAACGAAACAAAAAAAAATTATAGAAACAGAATTGGAACATTCGGTTGTTTGTTCATTTTTTGAATTTTGTCGCTAGATTCATATGATAATATATGAATGATGAATGCAGAACGTGTAGAATTGTGCAAATTGTGAATGATCATTATTTTAGTGATGACTAAAAATATAATTGTACGCACTCGTTCTGTAACATTCCCTCTCTCTCAATGTTTTGTTTTGATTTTAACCCAAAGATAAAGATGATGAAAAAAATGTCATTACCGATTAAGAAACGAACTAGAAAAAAATAGAATACTCATTTGAATTTTTTTTTCTGATATGAGTGTATGTCGTGTTTAAATTTTTTTATTTATTTATCGAAGAAATGAAATTCTATTCTCATTCATCGAATTTCTTGCTGTGACTATTTGATTAATCGAATTCTAAGTTTGATTGTTTGAAAAATTTTCCAAATCTAATGAATCACCCAAGAGCACCATCTTCTGTGAATTTAATGATTTTAATATTTTGTTGTTTCTGTTTTATTAACATCGAAATAATTTTGGTTTGTCTTGTTCTTTCTGACAGGTTTGTTTCAAAATGAATCGAATCAGGATCTGAACGAATTGAAATTCATTTTCATTTCAAATGAGAAAAAAATGAAATTCAATAGAAAAAATTCCACAACAGCATCATCAACGACAACAATATCGTATCGATCATATGGTATGTAGTGTGGTAACTAATCAAACGCGAGTGAGAGAAGATAAAAATAATAAATAAAAATATTTAATCGGCTAGCCATCGGTACAAGAACAAACAAAAACGAATAACGAACAAACGCCACAGTGACAACAACAATCTTGATGTTCAATCTACAGACGTTCGGTTATCATCATCATCATCATCATTATTATTGCCATTGTTGTATACGTTTACGGTTGCGTAGGCCGATCAACGAAACATAACGCTACTTCAAATGGTTAACCTTGCAGGCAATAGCTTTACAAAAGGTATGTCTTACTGATTTTTCATCTTTTTCCTTCCTTCCTCTCTTTTTCACTTTCTGCCACTATCGCTCGATATGTTGATGATGATGATAATATCAACCGATATGGGAAAAATATTTGACACAGACGAAATCGGTGACGAAGGATGTGATCATCTTACATTATCATCCGACGGTGTTGTGAATTTTGTTGCAACCAACAAACAATCCTAATCAATCAATTGGATCAATTAGTTTCAGTTTCATGTTTGCCACCACTCTCTCCATCATCGAAACAACAATAGAAGAAAATTCGATAATTCGGCTCAAACGAAATTAAATGAAAAGAATGGCAACGAATTCATTGAAAATGACCATACACAATTAATGTTTGAATTCTTAAAAGTTTCTTTTTTTTGCTGCTATTATTGATTTATACGTTTCTGTTGATCATCATATTCGAAAATGGGGATGGACAAGTCATCGAAAAAAGTTAGTAAGAAAAAATCTACAATAAAAAAAGGTGGTAAAACTTCGCGTAAAAAATCGGAAAAAAGTTTGAATAAAAAATCTACAAAACCAAAACTGACAAAAAAATCGACGAAAAAAAGTGACCTTTCATCCACATCCAAAGAGACGTCGAAATCATTGGCGACCAAGACGAGCACCATCGATGAAGATGGAGTTTCGAAGAAAGTAACTGATGAGCAGACAACATTAACTGACACTAAAATTGATGATTCGACAGTGACCTCAAAGACTGTTGATGATTCTAAAACGTCGTCTGCAACCACATCGACTACTGAAGATTCTAAAATGATTTCTGAATCTTCATCGCAACCAAAATCGGAGGTAGCCAAAGAAATGGAAATCAAACCAAAAACTCAACCATCAACAGCAACAGAAATGGCCAAAAACAATATAGATGATCAGACGAAATGTCTATTCAATACTTGTAAATTAGATCCGGATGTAGCGATAAAAATTGAAAAAAACCGTCAAGCAATCGAACAAGTGGTAAATCTTTTACGTGAAATAAGACCAGATCAAATTACCGGTGATATTAAAGAAGATCTGATTAAAATTCATATGATTGCACGAGGTATACGGATACGTTTAGCACATCATCTAGCTGAACAAGAAAAAAAGATGATGGATATTATGATGAAAATGTTGACGCCAACGAAAAAAGAAATGGCACCACCGGAATCGGAAATGAAAAAGGAAATGGCAAAAACAATGACAAAAAGTGATGAAGAAAAATCGAAATTTGCTACAGAAAAATTTGCTGATTCGGATAAAACAATGGCGACGGAAGTAACTAAAACGACGACCACAACGGCCGATAGTGATGGATCATCATCATCATCATCATCATCGGATTCGACAACAATGAACAAAACAGAGACAAAAGTGATGAAAAAATCTCTTGAAAATGATCCACTGAAAATAACCATTGATGAACCATTATCGAAATCAGCTGGTGAAGGTACAATAATCATGAAAGTTTGTATCAAAGAAGTGGTGGAAAATGTTGAAAAAAGCGTTTCCGATAATGATGATAATAGTGGTGGCAAAACAAACAATGATGAAAGTGATTAGAAATTCAAAAAAAATCAAGAGAGAAAAAGAGTGACGAACGGAACGGAAAAAGATTTGAATTCAATTCTTGAATGTGGAAATTAAATTTTTTTCCAAAGCAAAAAACTTGTTTTAATTTTCAATTTTTTTCCATTTAATTTATTATTCCACTTTCCCATTTGTATTGGTCCTCCTCGATGACTGCATAATAGCATTTTTGCACCAAACGATCGGATACCTTTTGATAATGGTTACGACCGTTGTGTTCCAGCCAATCTATTATCATTCAAGTAAGTTGATGTTTTTCAGTTTAGTTTTGTTTATATTTGCTCAAGTTGTGTTTATATAATTTTCGTGTTTCTCTTCAAACGTCTTTGTTTCAAGTAATTTCAAATTGATAATGATGATGATGACGGTCTTGTATATCGTGCATGTTGTCATAATAATTATATATTGATATGTTGATATTGAGAGGATTGAGGATAACATTTCATTACAACATTTCACGTTGACATGGTATTGCCTATGGTGTGGTTCATTCTGACATATTCTAATGTCACACACACATTCTTGAAAGCGAAGAATTCTTTTTTGGCTTCAAGCTTTTATATTTTTCACATTATCATCATCTTGTCATTCAAAATCGACATCAGTGTTGTTGTTTTTGTTTTCTTTTTGTCTATATTATATGAGAACCGGAAATAAAATCATCGAACAAAAAAAAATTGAAAAAAGACAATGACAACAAGATTGTATAACCAAAATAGGCAAGCATCCTGATGTGATAATGATAATGTTTTTGTTTTATTCTTGAAACTCAAGATGAAAAAAGATTATTCTTTGATCATCATCATTGCATGGTCAATAGTGTGTTGTGTGATGGTGGTGGATAGGGATGAAATTTCATTTGGTTTAATGATGATGTGGTTTCCATTTTCATTCTTCTTCAAATTAGCTTGTTTTTCGTTAAATTTTCTTATATTTTATGTATTCTCGCCCATGAGATGATCATGTTGCGATCGTTTTTTTTATTGTTGTTGTTTTTAATGTTGTCGGTTAGAAAATAAACTGTCACCAAAACCGAAACCGTTTTGTTTTCGTTTTGTTTTTTTTGCAACGTTCAATTTTATTTGACAACATGTGAACAGAAAAGAAAAGTTTCATTGTCGTTTCAAGATGATAATATGGTTAACAGGCTATTTGTTTGATCGAAAAACCGAAAACCAAATAACCGCATCAAAATGTACGATGTAATTAGGACGCCTGTTTGTTTGTGGACCACATGTCCAAACGATGTGACAATTTTTTTCGGTTAAATTCTTGAGTTTGTTTTTGTTTTTTGAAGATATAATTACACAACATTGTAATGATGATCATGCTGATAATTATTTCAATCGAAACGATTGCTTTGCTTTAAAAAATTGCTTGTTGTTTCCCATTAAAAAAGTTGTCATCATTCTATGAACAAGATTCCATCACATTTCTTTATTTTTTATAGAAATTTTATCGATTTTTTCTCATTTCCCTTGTCGAAAAAATCATTGAAAATTGAACTAGAAAGCGAAAATAAAAATGGAATAATGAATTTTCTGTTTTGCCGGAACGATTCGGGAAAAAAGATAATTAAGAACAACGATTGTATCGATATGAAATGAAATGATAATGAAAATAATAAACCCATATCCGGGTTCTATCTTTGTCCAAATGATGAAAATGATATTCCATGTGAACCAGAGACTCGATTTATCGAAAGAATATTAATGATCATGCTAGACTTTCTTAGTTTTCATAATAATTCAAAAAATCATTATCGATTTGTGATGATTTGCTGATACAACTACGATCTCTAACAGTGATGATTATTTCATCAAAATCACACATCTTTGCAGCTAGTCGAAAAAAGTTTCTTATCATTATCATTTAATGAAACTGACAAACAAAAATAAAACCAAAACACAGATGTATCAGTGTGATCAGTGGTTGTTTGTTTTGTGCATTGAATCTAAATATCATATGTAGATGTAGATGATGATGATTAAGATTCCACACTCTGATTGTTTATTGGACAGTTCAATTTTTTTGCATCATCATCATCATCATCATCATCATCATCATCATCATTGATGGCTTCGATATTGAATAAACAAAAAAATGTGCCCTGCATAAACACAATATTTGGCCAATTCGGATAAAAGGAAGAATGTGTAAACATCTTCATTCTCATACAACAATGACAACAATAAAAAAAAATATTCCGGAACTACACCATATTAATACAATCGCGAATAAGATTGTAAATGTGTTGTTGTTGTTGTTTTCTTTCGTTTTAAATAATAATACTTGTTTTGTGGGTATGGATACAACCAACAGCTCGATATTACTGTGTGTGTTGTGGCCATATATATTGACACACACACACACACTTATTTTTTCGCACCTAATCAAGAAAGAAGAAAAAAAAGTATAACGGCTATACTTTTTTTTGGACAACAACAAAGTTGAGAAGCAAAAATAAAAACTTTTGTTTTCCATCCATTCACTATGGATCGATACATGAACACACAATGTGTGAAGATAGAAGAAATGATGAAAAAAAGATACATAGTCCACTAAATAGATGTTGTTGTAAAACGACGACAACATCAAGAAACTTTTTTGCCTTTTTTATCGAAACCAAAAGTTGAGAGTTTCTTTTGTTTCTTTTCCACTTTTTTACTGTGAATATTTATAAAGAAAAAAGAAAGAAAATTCTGTTGTCTATCTCTTTTAAATCGAAATTCTTAACAATCGGAAACCTTGAGACCAACGAAAAAAATGTCATTATTCCAGAAACAACAAACATAAACGAATAGATAGATATGTGGTATATGGCATATTGGCTAATGTGTGTCGTATATATCAGCTGTCAAGTTCAGAATTCTTGAATTTTTCTTTTTTCCTTGGAAAAAAGATGACCATAATTTTCGTTTATCACAGAATCATACATGTATGAAAAAGAAATAATTTATGAAATTTAAATAATACCAAAAAGCAAGTGTTTTTCAACAACAAGAAATGACCGGCCGGTCCCCAAAAAAAGAAATTTGAAATTCAAACAATTTTTTTCTTTTCTTTCGCGTTTTTCATTTTCTATTATCGAGAAAAAAAGACCACGATGAGAGCAGTATTCGAAACGGAATTTTGTTTTTGTTTGTTGTTTAAATGGATCTGCATTTGTCATTTACCCAAAGACAAACAACAACTGCAGCAGCATCGGCGGTGGAGTTGGTGGACAAAGAATAGAATAGAAATATAGATCTCTAGTCATTATAGTCATCATCGTTGAATGATTTTTGTTGTTGTTATATGTTTTTGACTTTGTCAAACATTTTCATTTTCATTCACCATTTGTCAATTGGTACCGGCGATAAAATACAAAATAGATAAAGAAAAAAAGAAAAATTTACATTTAAATTAAAGTTTTTTCTTTTTCCCTCGTTAAATCACCAAAAAAAAAAATTTCATATTTCGAATCAAGTAGCTGTAATGCTGTATATTCTAAATTTGGATTTATTATCATGTCAAATCAATTGTCATGCAAATGATTCGTTTGACAACAACAACAACAACAACAACAGCAGCAGCAGCAGCAGCAGCATTAAGCCAAATTAATGTTTAATTTGGTTTGATTTTTTCCGTTTGAATACAGAAAACTCTAATTCCAAATCTTTTTGTTATTCAATTTTCATTTTTCACTAAATCATTAAAATAGAATTAGTTCGTGCCAAAGATTTCAGCAATGCCGAAAGAGATGCGGCATTGTCTGCCGCCTTCAAATCATCATCATCATCCACATCATTATCATTATCATCATCAGCTACCTCAACGGTGATTGGTGGTGGCCATAGAGGTACATTGGACAATAGTCTTGGACCGGTGATATTACCACCTCCACCACCACTACCACAATTACCATCATCATTAACATCAATACCATCCATTATATCGGGCCAAAATGTATTAGACAATAATAATGACACACCAGATTCATTTCTATTATCGTCGATTGGTCATCAATCCAAATCATCCATAAAACAGATTGAAAAAAGAGAACCAACGAAAAATGGATCGAAAAAACTGACGAAAAAGCCTAAATCTTCACAACAACAACAACGATCATTTTCAGCTTATATACAAGCGGATTTATCACCATTAGAATTGGATGATACAATATTCGATGCAGTTGGTGGTGGTAGTGGTGATCCACGCTTTGATGCAATGATTTCAATCGATCCAAATGATCCATGCTACAATTTTACCGTTGGAAATTTAAAATATCAAGAATTTTTCTCACCAAATTATCCAAATAATTATCCAAATGATACTGAATGTGAACGAGTGATTCAAGGTTGGACATTTTCTCTTTTAATAAAAAATGTAATTAATATATTGACATATAAAGTAATGTGATTCATTTTGTCGTTATTGTTTAGCACCACATGGATATCAAATCAGTATAGAATTTAGGGATCAATTTTCTCTTGAAGATTCACCAAATTGTGCATATGATTATCTTGAAATACGTGATGGTCCATATGGTTATTCAGCACCGTTGGCAAAATTATGTGGCCCAGATTTTCCACGAGATATCATCTCCAATGATCGTTACCTCTTTTTACGTTTTGTGTCCGATGATAGTATTGAATATCAAGGATTTAGAGCTGTTTATTCCTTTATCAAAATGACAAGTAAGCCATTGAATCGAATTGAAATGATGACGATTGAGCAAAATTTTTTCGTTTCAGATGAAAGACCAGAACCGCCAGATGATTGTCGTTTTAATAAAACAGGTGTTAGCGGGACCATCGAGAATCGTGATATACCACTTGAGCTAACAAATTATTCGGTAACCCAGAATGTTCCAATTGATTGTATGTGGAATATAACTGTTGCAGCCGGTTATAAAGTGAGTATTGTTTGTCAATTTTTTTTGGAAAAACAAAAATGAAAATCTAAATTATCATTGACGATTTTAGATGTATCTGAATTTCAAAGAATATAAATTAACAAGCCCAAATAATTGTGAAGCCAATTATATTGATATTTATGGTGAAAAATTGAGCGATCTAGCACGTAAACAACGATTTTGTGGTACACAAGCCGAACCCGTACGATCGGATGATAATCATATGAATATACGTTTTTTCGCTAAACCGGACGCATTGAGTAATGTACAATTTGAGATTACGTTCACGGCATTTCGTGAATTATCGAATAAAGGTATTTGATTTTGAAACAGCCAAAAATCCTGTTTGAATGTATTGAATATTTATGCACTTGTTTTTTCGGTTTTTTCTTATATTTCACCGTGTGATTTGATCTGTTGTGTGCTTGCTTGGTTTGTGAATTGTTTGTTTGTTTGTTGCTTTTCGTTTTCGTTCGTTTTCTTTATGTTTTGATTGGCTTTTTGTTGCAATTGCAAATTATTGAACAAATTTTGTGCTACCACGATGATTAATTGATCGGTTTTTACGCAAACAAACAAACAAACGAAAAAAAATTCGGAAAAAAGCAGAAACATGCCGTCCTGATGAATTTGATTGTGAAGATTCCACATGTATCGATATTGGTCTGAAATGTGATGGTGTCGATAATTGTAAATACCGTTATGATGAAGATAAACAAACTACCTGTGCACCAGGTAATGTCATTTGATTTTTTATTCATGGATGATTTGGTAAAATTTTTTTTTCTCAATTTTTCCATCTCCCTCATAGGAAACAAGGGCGTATTGAATCTCAATTCCCAACATATGGTTGTCATATTGATCGTATTCTGTGCACTTGTATTCGGAATGTGTGCTTCCATTGCCATTTCGTGTTGGAGTAAAATTGAGGAACGTTCACAACGTAAACGTGAATATAAATTAAGACGTTCACGTGAAGCATCAATGGAAGTTGGACTAGACCGTACAATGACCATTACATCATTGGATCGCTCATGTCCATTGGAACATGGTGAACAAACATCATCATCATCCGGTTCAAGATGTCGTAAGATTGTAACGGCAAATGCTATACGACAAAAACCAGATGTTGGCAGCGGTGGTGGTGGTGGTGGCGGCGGTGGTGATGATGATGATGATGGACCCACAATGGGTTATTATGATTCCGAAGAGAATGGTTGTTATGTGCCAGATTTAGATATTGCACCGATGCATCATCATTCATCAACATCTCATCATCATCTAGTGTATCCATCATCCACCGAAAGGCGACCTAAACAGATGCAAACTGTACAGCCAAACGGTGGTACTATTTGTACAGCTCATCATTTGGATCCTGCCGATAAATATTCACCCGATACGCCCACACCACCACAAATGATGATTGGTTCACCAAATACAAGAGGTCATGTTGGTGGTGGTGGTGGCACACAATCACCATTAGTTGGTGGTGATCACTATTATCATCAACAACAACAACAACAACAACAGAATATAGAGCGTGATTCAATACGATCATCGTCTGATTGTTCAATACCACCACCGCCTCCACCACCATCGTTAAGTCATTTTCGTAATCGTCTTCAACAACAGCCACAACAATATCGAACACTACCTCTTGATCCAAGTAAATTGACAGATGCATCATTGTTAATCATGAGCGACAATCATCATCAAGCTGTACAATTTAGACATCCACAACATACCACTCGTATGATAGCGACTGGTGCAGGTCAACCATCATCCATGATGATACATCCACAACATCATCCTGATTGTGCTCAACATCAGCTCAATAAGATGCAACAAGCATCCATTGAACATCAATCACAATATAATCCTAATTCATTACGTAGAGCAACAAATTATTATACGAACCAGCCTACAACCGGTAATTGTGGTGGTGGTGTTCGACAACAACCTACATCCGGCAATAGTAATCCAGGCAGTCAAAGGCCTTCACCGATGCCTATAGGAAGTAGTGGTGATACAAATGAACTGCTCAATGATGTAATCGATGTCGATGGTTGTATTGACGAAGGTGATGTTGAATCTGGCGTGGGCCATTCAGAACAACGTTCAGCAATGGAGCTTAATGATGATGTTATCGATGATGATGTATTAACCGAAAATGATATCTATCCACCATCAAATGGACTAGCATCAACCAGTGGTAGACATCAACCATCTACACATTATCTATTACGCGGCCAATCAACATTGGAAGAAGAAGATGATTCTTCAGTGCCTTTAAATTCAACCAATTCAAATACTGGCTATGGTAGTAGTGGACAACAGACTATAATGCCACCAAACATTGGTCAACAAGTTTATTATCGCAGTGAAGCTGTTATTGAAATGGCACCAAGACCAGATACGAATCGTCAAGATGTAGCACTTATTCGTTGAAATGAATTGAAATTATTTGTATTTATTCAATCAAAATCTACCATTCAAGCCATTCAATACCGATAATAACGAGTGATATTCACTCACAACAAACCAAAAGAAAACGAAATATACAAACAACAATCACACAATGTAATCGACAACTTATACATACACACATATACATACATACATACATACATATATATATATATTCTCTAATTCGTCAATAGATTGTCGTCACATTGGTCAATTGTTTTTGATGTTGTTTTTCATTTTTTGCGCTGCCATTCACATTCATCTCTCTCTCTCTCTCTCTGTTTTCATTCAAAGGAAAAGAACAAAAATTTTTTTTTTTGTTTTGACAATAATCAATTCATCTGATAAATAATTATATCATCATAATCTATAGACATCAATTGTTTGTTGTAATACAAAATCACTATGGATTTTATCTAATTCATTTTTGCTATAAATATACAACCAAATTATTTAAAAAATTGAAACAAATTCTTCAACCAAATAATGAATAGAAACTTGTAGGAAAAATTGTAAATTTTATCAAAAAAGATATTATCAATGATATACCCAAATACCCATTCACACACACACTTTACAAAGCCTTTGAGATGAAACCTTGTGTAAAATAATATAAAACTGTGCATAGATTACAACTACAACTAATAATTGATTAGAAAAATTCATTTCATTTGACAAAAATCTCATTATATTCTTCACATGATTTCAATAAGATGCATGTTTTTCCATTAAATTAAATCAGCATTTATAACTGAATAGACAATACACATTGTAACTAGAGAGAATCTGATTATTACTGATTGATTTGAATTGAATATTTTTGTTTTGTTTTTGTTTTTGTTTTGGTCATTCATTCTTGTATTTTAAATTATCCAATATACCCAACACCTACCCACATAAAGTTATTTATAACCACCACCACCACCACCACCACTACAAAGAAAGCCATACCTGAACAAACAAACAAACCAAAAAAAAAACATTGGAAAAAATGTACTTGACAATTGCTTCAATTATCTCTCCTTTTCTCCATTTTTTTCATCATCATCATCATCATCATTGATCATTTGATTATATACCACACTTACACACAAACTATTCATTGATTCAAGAAATTTTTTACTTAAAAATTTAAAAAATTTAAGCATTTTTTCTGTTCTCTTCAGATACTATATAATAAAATGAATGAATATAAATATATATCATAATCATATATATTTGAATTACATACACACATTCAAAATACATTGTTTACAACACTCACTCACACACACACACACACACACAAACCACTTGAACAAATACATATGATCTGAGATACAATATACAATTACAATAATTAATCATGATGAAAACGAAAGAAAACTAAAGGTTCAATAAATCTCGATATTCAATGCCAACCACCCCTTGGTAAAGCGCAGCAACAAAAACACCACAAGGAGTCATATTGATCATTTTGTCATTTTGTCATTATGATCTCCGTTCTTACGTGTCATCATCATCATCATCATCATTTGTTTTTGTTTTCTATATGTATTTGAATGCTTTTGTTTAATTGTTGGTACAAATAAAATCTAAATTATCAAAATCAACCTATAGGTATGTTATTTGATCATTTTCCTTGTCAACTATGTTTCGTCTATTTCATATGATTATAATCTTTATCAACTCAACATGTGCGATAACCGATTTTCTATGATTAATTTTTCCATTTTGCAATTTTCTATTCATAATATAAATAAACTAATGTGGCAAATGTGGCATAACTGTAATGGTAGATAGTCGATTATTGGATCAATTGATCGAGAGAGAGAGAGAGAGAGAAAAAGAGAGAAAATAAACACGAATCTTCGATCCAACACACGCAAACATCAATATAGAAATCTGAGAAGCTCAACAACAACAACAACAATCTTGAGATTAACAATAAAGATATGGGAGTATCTCTCCTGTAAGCATTGAAAAAATTTCATGAGCAATCAATTTAAATTTCGAATCAATCAAAGTGTATTTACGAATACCGAATCGTGTGACATTCATATGTCGTCGTCATTGTTGTTATTGTTCACGAAAATCGGTTCACTAATTCATCAACACCACATCTACCACACAATAATGTCATTGAACAATGGACATTGAACAATTTTTATTCAAAGAATGAAAACTCTTAAACCAAAGAAAAAAAATAACGTTGACCGTTGAATGTGGCCAACAAGAATAAATCTTTTACATACAGAAAAAAATATATAAATAACTAACCAAGGATTTATATAACCAACAAATACCGAAGAAAAAAACAGAAATCTTGGCAAATGGAAATTCAATGTGTTTGCTGTCCCATTCATTCATTCATTCATTGAAATGGCAATCATTCATTGGCGATGATCGAAGAACAAAAAAATAAAAATCCCGTATAAACACACACACACACAGAGGCAAAATCAGAATAAAAAAAAGAATGGACAATAATCAATCACCGATCAAATTCGGACATGTCAAACATTCGTTTGTGTGTGTATGGGTAAGATGAATAAGTCACAAGATCCATCTCTTTATAAATATCGAAAAACGCCCAGTAAGAAGAAAAAAAGACCGATTCATTCATTGAAATTATTTCGAAATGGACAAGTTGATTATATAAAGAGAGAAAAAAACAATACATTAAGACTGTGGCGAAGAAAAAAAAAAAAATCTATCTTTCCATCTATCTATCTTTCGAATCGAAATACAACTTCTTAAATAAAAAAAAATTCATATTCATGATACACACAGAGTTGGATTTATAACAACAGTAAGATTATATATCAGTGTCATCCTTTTCTGTTTTTTTTTCAAGAATCATTCGGAAAAAACTAGTTAAATGAACAATAATATAGTAAATGGTTATAGTATTTCAACAAGAAAACGCGAACTGAAAAAAATTCGCTTTCTCATTCACACGAATATTGATTAGAACACAAGATTGAAAAAACATCAATATGTGTGTAGGCCAAATTCTTATTGAATAAATTCAGTTTTATCAATGACAATAGATTACATGTTATTACATGTCCAAACAGAAAATGTGAATATGTTTGCGAGAGAAAACAAGAGAAAACAAAAATTGTTTGTTAAAACTTCAACAATGAATATTCGTTATAATTCTTTACTTCTCTATTTCTTGTTGGTCATATGGAATTGGATAATAATGTTCGATTTTCGAATTATGTCGAGATTTCAAAATTTTTGGTATGAAAATGAAAAAATTTTCCCATGATCAAATGTGAATGAAATTGATTTTACAAGTGAAAATATGCCTGACGATAATAAAAAAAATATCAACTCGAATTCTTCATCTTCAACGATAAACTCATCATCCAGTTCAGCATCAGCATTACCAACATCAAGGATGGAATTGATATCGGAAAATGTGGCCAAAGTACAGATGCTAGAAACTTTGGATCAAAATGGTACGCTTGTAATATTGTCGAACGATGATAACAACAATGGTAATCCATTACATCGTCCAGTATATTCATTCAAATCACGGGTGAATTGGAAACGCACATCACTCGAAGTTTTGAATAATGTTCCAAGATTTGGCATCTACTTTTGTTCATTAAATTGGATTTTTAAAAGACAACTTTATCGTAAGATTAAAGATGGCGCCATATACCTTGAATCAATGGCGCCGGTTTTACATTGTGTTTGCAAAGAACCAAATGATTTCTGTCATGGTCGTATCGGTCCCATTGATAAGCTTATACCGTATGAACATCATCAACAACCAAAAGTGAATGGTATTTGGATATCGGTGTTTGGCAATGAAACAAATGTTGCTGATATAAACGATGAATGGAATCAAAGTTTTCATCGAATGAAATCTTTAAATTCCAATTTTAATCGATTAATATTCCTTGTGGCCAACCATGCTGCCTGTGTTGGCATTCATTTCTGGAATACAAAAAAAGATGAAAAAAAATTGCGAATAAAACAAGGTCGAAAATCTTATCATCATGAACGACCATTAATTTTACCGGGTGGATTCTACGTACTCGAAGGTTTATTCGAAGCAAAATTTCTAAATTATGATCCAAAAATCGGTTCAAAAACAATGATTACACCAAACACGTTTCATTCATCGATCAATTCACCAAGAATGATTATATTATCTGAAGGAACACATATGATTAAAGTAAAACCATATGAAGGTCTTATAATGGATCTTGTAACCATGGACATTGGTGAGCAAGCAATTGTCAACAACAAGAATAACTTACCCAACAAAAATAATGATGACGTGAAAAAATTGGTAGCAATCGTTCCACAAACTGTTGATGATAATAATGTAGAGACAAATGACAAAGCACGAAAAATTGAAGTATGGTTAGATTTCTATTACAAAAAATTAATCATGATTGATTATAATCGAATTATGATGGATTTATTCAAAATTTCAACAATCAACACATGATATTCAAATAATAAATATGATCCGAAAAAAATTCTGTTACGTTCTATATGAACGGTTGAAGAGAATCTAGCATGATTTTGTTTTCAACAGCTGCAATCATCAAATTCTGGTTGCAATTTTTGCATTGGACCAAAAATTTTTCTTTTTTTCGTTAGTTAATAGTTAAAGGTAATTTCCAAGTATTTCTTCAAGATCTCTTCACGCCATCAGATCGAGGAATAAATTCAAATTCAAATTGTCATTTGTTTTTTATTCATATATTTACAACTTTGATCATTTTCAGAAATGAAAACATTCAACATTCAAATAATTTTCGTATCTAAACATGCCATTCATCATGATCATTAGAAATAATTTTTAATGTAAATTGTATCCACAAAATCATTTTCATTTTGTGTGTGTGTATGTGTTTGATGAACTAAAGCTGGTCTGAAAATTTGATCTCAATTTAGCCGAAAAAAATTCAATTTCAAAGTCATCATTTATATTTTATTGCATCAATTAGAAAATGAATGGTCATTCGAGAAAAATTGCTTTGATTACTGGTATTTCTGGCCAGGTATGATTACTATTTACTATTTAAAATCGAATCAAACTGATTTCTCTCCTTAAAAAAGGATGGTTCATATTTGGCTGAATTTCTAATCGAAAAAGGTTATGAAGTACATGGTATTATTCGACGATCAAGTTCATTCAACACTGGTCGTATTCAGCATCTTTATAAAGATCAATCGACACATCAGGAGGGATGTAAGTTGGTTACAATAATGCATGATAATAATGTTTCAAATGGACAAAAGAATCAAGAATGGCAATTTTATTCTAATTTAGCAATGAAATTACATTATGGTGATATGACTGATAGTACCTGCTTGGTTCGTTTGATACATGAAATTAAACCGGATGAAATATATAATCTAGCCGCACAAAGTCATGTAAAAGTATCGTTCGATCTAAGTGAATATACTGCCAATGTTGATGCGCTTGGAGCATTACGATTATTGGATGCCATTCGAACGGCAAATATAACCGATACAAATGGAAAATTAAAAATGAAATTCTATCAAGCCAGTACTTCAGAATTGTATGGCAAAGTACAAGAAGTGCCTCAACGTGAAACAACACCATTCTATCCACGATCACCATACGGTGTGGCAAAATCATTCGCTTATTGGATTGTTGTCAATTATCGTGAAGCTTATGAAATGTTTGCCGTCAATGGTATACTATTCAATCATGAATCACCTCGACGCGGTGAAACATTTGTCACTCGTAAAATTACACGTGGTGTTGCGAAAATTCTCCTAAACCGGCAAGAATATATTGAATTGGGTAATCTGGATTCAAAACGAGATTGGGGCCACGCACGTGATTATGTGGAAGCAATGTGGCTAATGTTACAACAGGAAAATCCAGAAGATTTTGTTATCGCAACTGGTGAAGCACATTCAGTTCGTGAATTTGTCGAATCTGCTTTCAAACATATCGATAGAGAAATTATGTAAGCTATGAATAAATGAATGAATGATTAATTTCCATTGATCAATTTTATCAAATTAGCTGGGAAGGTATTGGTCTGAATGAAGTCGGAAAAGAAAAACAAACTGGCATCATTCGTGTAAAAGTGAATGCACGTTATTTCCGTCCAGCGGAAGTTGTACGTATTTTTCCATATTTAATCCTTTCACTAATTGGTCTGCATTTGTGTTGTGTTTTGTTGATTACAAAATCAATATAGGATTTCCTATTGGGTGATGCTTCGAAAGCAAAAAGAAAACTAAATTGGAAACCGAAAACTTCGTTTCAAGTTTGTTATCATAATGAAAACATAGCCAAATCAAATTGAATAATCAAAAACTAAAATTTTTTTCTTTCGCACCCACACACACACACACACAGGAACTTGTCAAAGAAATGATTGATGCTGATATTGAGCTTATGAAACGAAATCCTTATGCCTAAATGAACGAAAAAACCTGCAATGAAGAAAAATCTGAAAAGGAAAAATTTTTCATTTTTATCAATAAGTCAATGGTTTCAAAAAAAACAGTTCAACTTTCGTCATTAACACACACACACACACACACAATAATCGATTGGACCATCATCACAAAATATGATTCGAACAACAATTATTAATTCTTTTATATTTTTATTTTTCAAACTTTTTTTTCGTTAAAACAAAACACAAATTTTTATTTTGCTTTATTATTCCGAATTTATTGAAAATTGTTGATTTCCATGCCCCACACACAGTCAGACATTCCATACACACACACACACCCAAGCCTATCGTTTTTGTTTGTGTTTATTTATTTGTTTTTTCTCATTTTGCAATGTTTTTTTTCTTCAAAAAACAGATTTTATTTCAAATATTCTGATTTCGTATCAGCATAAATCATAAAAAGGGGAAACAGAAATTAAATTCAAAAATGTTGATTTTTCAAAATCTTTTTTACCAATTGCATTGAAATGGATTTGAATATTGTTCATGAATGATTCATTAATTGATTAATGTCCAATCGATGCCTTCTGCCTTGCAAGTTGGTTTTGTATATATGCAACTAGCAAGACAGAAGCGAATGATAATATCAGTGTTAATAATGTGATTAATGATTAATAGCAAAGGGGTCTTCATTAGAGGTTTTATTGCAACAACACAGAAAAAAATGACAAAGCACTTGTTGATTATAGTTAATTTAATTAATAATAGACAATTATATCCATCTATTGCTTTATATTGCTGTATTGTACACGTGTGCTCTGTCATGTTTGTATGTTTTTTCTTTGTTATCTTTATTACTCATTTTTTTATCTATTAAGATTTTCAGATATACCATGGTTAATTTAGAGATAGTGTAATCTTAATTATCATTTTTTTCTGATTTCAATTTGCGAAAAAACGAAAAATTTGGATATTCCAACAGACAGAAAGTTAACAAATATGTGTATGTTCCAGAAATGAAAAAGACAAAATTAAATTCATCATCCTCACTTACTTCTTGGGCAAGTAAGTGAGGGATGTGAAGTTAATCATCATCATCATCGACATTATTTCGTATCAGAAATCAGAAAAACAACATGAAACTTTTTCCAATTGGTTATTATTTTCAGTTTTTTTGTATTTGTGAAATGCTTTTATCGATTATTAATTACTGTGTGTATGGAATATTATTGTTTGTCGTTTGTTGTCATGGCAAACAGACATTATCTTCGCTGTATATTCGACTTCGACCTGTATCTAACCGCTGAATTCCAAAGAAACTATCATTATCATCATCTTACTTGATGGTGGAATTTATGAAAATTTTTTTTTGTTTCTTGCTTTTTTACCAGCCATCAAAATGTTGCTCTAATTACTTTGTTTATAAATTTTCGATTTTTCTAACGAAACCTTTTTTTACTTTGAAAAATTTATTTTTCTGGTTCTCTGTGTCGATTCCACTGAACACAATTGAATCGCGCCTGTGCGCCTGTGTGTTGATATGGCTACAAATATATAAAAGACATTGCTCGATTAACCATGCCGCGATTGGTCTTGATATGATTGGCATCCATTGCCAAAGGTCATTTTTAACTCTTCGTGCCTATCTTTCTATGCACGGCGTTGTATTATGTTTACATGTATTTGATCAATCTATCTTGAGGAAAAATTGAACATTTTCTCTGTGTTCGTAAAAAATCGAACCATATAATGGGGGTGAAATCGCATCTCCTGGTGGCATTAAAAATAATTCTGCTGGTATTACAAATTTTTTCAATTTCCTAATGATTATTGTTGACAAATTTTTTCCGTTGAAATCATCATCACAATGATGGCGAATAACCCTCTCATATTGAAATGTTGTTGTTATTTTGAGATTTGGTTGGAAATAATTGGATGAATCACATGGCATAAACACACACACGCACAAGGTTTATTTTTTCATACCAAAATGAGTTCTTTTTCTCGGTGCCGTCAAGGCTAAAACAAAACAATTCATTGAATTTGTGTTGTTGGTTTTAATCGAACAAATTAACTTTGAGGTAAAAAAAATAAAATTGGTTTAGGCAAAGCGGTACATGAATAAATCTTTGTGTGATCTTCTCGTTTTTGATATTGTTTTTTTTCTGGTTGCCACTTTTTCGATCGGCTAAAGACCGAATGCCGACAAATTTCTTGAAAACATTTCATCTTTTTCCCTCCTATTTTTTAGATAAAATGAAAAACGAATGGCTGAGGAACGAAGACAAAAAAATCAATTATTCTTGTTTGAACACAATGTTTCCAACATATAAACGATCATCATCGTTATTCACTCCTAAATCGAGTGCAAATCAATTATGTAATTTGAATTTTTTTTCTCTTCTTCAAATAGATTTTGTTTTATTTTCTCAATTGTCAAATTGTTTTTTCTACTTTCAAAAGGCTGAAAGACAACAACAAACGTTTCTTTGGTGACGACAAAAATCAAATCGACTTGAAATCCGTTGTGTCCGTTTATTTCTTTTCTTTCTCTCGATGTCGGTATTTGTCATTTCATTTTTTTTTGTGCATATGCATATGTATTCTGGTAGTTATGAGAAAATTTAATATTTGAAATTCGACAGAATTTTGACAAAAACAATTTTTTTCGTTTCGAAAAAATTCCAAAGAATTGTCAATTATTATTGTTATTGTCGTCATTTGTATGGTGGTATTTCCGGACCTAAGAATTATGAAACAGTGATGATGATGATGATGAATTTAAAAATTGTTGAATCGATTCGAAAGAGAGAAAGAAAGGGAGATTTTAGAATCGTTATCCCATTACCTCATTTTTTATATGGAAAAGGGAATAGAGAATAAATAAGTGGAAAACGGTTTCTCATTTTGTGATTATTACAACAAAATAAACAAATCGATCAAGTTTATTCATGTGATAGGAAACGGAAAATCAACAACAAGCAATCGAAACCATCTATTTTTGTAATGATCTGAGTTAAGATAGTGAAGATAGAGTTGAAAAATATTTGTCATTAGAATGATATTTTGAAAGTCTTGGTTTTTCTTTTGAAACAACAACCAAAAAATTTGGTATACAATTGCATTGTGCAAACAAAAATGAAATGAAATGTTTCCTAGTTTTTTTTTGTTTCATTTCAAAAAACAGCAAAATAAACAACAACAATAACAACATAGAATTTGATTTGATTTTCAGTTCTGATTGTTTGATTCACACCATATCCATATGAACCTAGATTCTTTTCAACTTCCATCTTTCCATTCCTTATGATAATGATTCATTTGTTGTTTGTTTTTTTTTCATTCATTGATTCATTGTCTCAATGTTTTCAGATTCCCATTTGGTTAGCATTTCAATATCAGAATTGCTTTATTCTTTCTTGTTTTTGTTGTTGTTCAATGACTAATGGTGATGCATTTGTTTCGATTTAATTTATCATCGAAAAATATTGTGTTCTTTTAAACAATCATTTTGTAGCAGGCAAATTAACACAATGAATGACAATATAATATATGTGTGTCTGTCTGAGCAAGCGAATAAAAAAACAAAATTTTTTTTCAATGTTTGTTTGTTCACGAAACAAATATTGAAAAAAAAATTCAAACATGGGTAAAAATCAATCGAAGTGGGGAAAAAACAAATGTTTCTCTTTCTTTCCATCAATTCAATTCGATTTATTGCCAGAAATGAAAAGATGAACAAAAAATGATGAGGAATATTCATCGAAAAAAATAAACATTGACGAATCAAATTCAAACACACACATGGCCCACACATGTCCCTCATCGATGATTGTTTTGGGGGAGAATATAAAAATACCAATATTTTCGAATGCAACAGTTTTGCTTTGATGATTTTTTTCATCATTATTTCAAATGATGATCGATTGATTTTTTTGTCGAATGAATGAATGAGAAACAAATCAAATAATAATGCCTTCATTGTATATTTTGCTCCATCTCAACAGAATTTATTCATTGTGATAGAATGTTTTTTTGGTGCTTGGCTCTTTTAAATAAGCTAAAATTTATGCTGTTGTTGTTTTTGGTCTCGTTTTTATTTTATCTTTTATTATTATGATTATTTAAATAATTTTCATAATCGTAAAATCCATGTCTTAATGTATATGGTATTTTGTTTATTCAACCACACACACCAAACCGATTTACCATCCATAGAAAATTGATGATTGTTATTGGTACACATGCACACACAAGCACACATCAAACAAACAATCACAAATGAAAACAAAACAAAACAAAAACACAGAAAAAAATTAGAATCCGGAATCAGAATTTTTTGGTATAATAACCATCTATGATGTATGTAAAAGACATATGGTGATGATGGTAATAATTTTCAAATCCGATTTCATTTATATGTGTCTCCAGATATGAAATTGAATTGTTCACGTCATTCTTGTCAATGTTATTGTTATTGGCCTCATTCATTCATTCATTCATTTATTATTATCATAAATTAAATTTCTTTTTTCGTTTGAAAAAGTGGCATCTTGTTTGAAAACAAAAATTATGTTAACCAGCAAAAAAAATCTTTTGTTGTTCAGTATTTATTTGTTTACATAAACGATTATAAAACCAAATGATGATGATGATGATGATGACAATCAAAGAAAAGAAAAGAAATGAAATGATTAACAATTCAATATTGGTAATCTGATATTGTTGTTAAATGAGAAAATTCATCAGCCACAAATATAAAGAAATTTCGAAATCAAATCAACTTGAAAAAATTGCGAAAAGTTCCTCAGAATGGAGACAAAAACATTGATCGGTTGGAGTAAAAAAGAAAAATACAAATATTTGATCTTGAAGATGAAACACAAAAACATTCAGAAACGAGAAAAAACTGATCAGAATATGAATTATTATAATTGCTGTAATCACGCAGATTTTTTTCACAAATATATGTCATTTGTAAACATAAAATTTATATATTTATTATTAATTTTTCTAACAAACATTGTTATGATTACATCTTACCTAAATAGAGCG